GTACAAGTCAGTGTTTTTATCCTCCCAGACAAGTCTGGTACCAACTAACCGATCCCGGAGGGATGGAAGGCGTGGTTTCGGAGGGAGGATGACCCAGGATCCGATCCTCGGACAGCGCGCGTGGTAAGCGTGCCCCTTGCCACTACACCACTTCCGCCCAAACATCGTAATAGCACATAAAATTTCATAACTGAAATACAGCTTCACAACTGAAATATAGTAGAACAAAAAATGTCCAATAATTTCAATTTTGAACGTTTTTTTTTCTCACCGGCTTGAGATGCTAATGGTCTGCGGCGTACGGCTTCACTATCCCATGTGAAAAGTGAAATCTTCAGATTGAACCCTGCTCAGGCCAGCGAAGCATTCCATACCGTCATGGTTAACCCAATAGTACCGGTCAAGGATTAGGCGTCGATTATGGCCCCGAAACTCGCTGTGTAGAATATAAATATTTGCATAAAAACAATACAGAATAATTCGGAGATAAATAAAAGAAATTCTGATTCTGAGAAATCTGAACTAAACACCTTCCAAATGAGATGGGATCCAGATGAGAGGCTCTGATGAAAAGAACACCATCAGCTACATAACTCTTACCCCTCACATCAGCTTACTTCAGGTGCTTTTAAAATTGAAGAGTATGCATTCAAATAAACAAATCAATAAATTAGAGCACTGCTATCTGCATAGCAAAATACCTTTGATCATTTTGAAAAAAAAACCAGAAATGGAAGAGAGAACCGACTAACTTCATGACCTTACTTCAGATTCCCATCGATTTTGAATCCCTGCTTTGACAGAGTTCTAAGAGTGAACCTTTAAGAGGTGATAACTCCTCTAGGTCGAAGTGGAACCAAAAGTTCAGGAAGAAATGAGATTCGTGTACACTAAGCTCAATTTTCAACTCGAGTTTCAATTTAATCACAACGGTTGACCATCGCTTCGCTGATCCCAATAGAAGGAGGTGCTGGACCGATTCAGGCACCTCATGAAACATACAACCCATTCATCTCGTCACAGCGCTCGAGATCCAAGCGACAAAAGACAAAGTGGGGACCGTGGTTAATCACGTACGTGTCCTATGCTTCTTATCTACAGAAAAATTGATAAAGGTAATTCGATGACCTACTCACTGACCTGCAGGAGCGAGTGTAGGAGCAAGAGTACGGTTCTTCCAAGCAGGGGTGCAGTAACGCTCAGCTGATCGCGGGTGTCATTCGTACCACCAAAAATAGCGCTAACGACGGCTTTAGTCGCTGTACTAGCATAGATCTTCTTTATAACGAAAAGTTCTTGTTCATGAAGAGGATTCAGCCTCCTACCTTACTCTGTATTACTTTTTTCGGATACTTCTTTGTTAGTATACTGTACCAGCCTAGTCCAAGGGCAAACGGAACTGGTTGCTGCTTGTATTCCTGACTTCTACCAGCAGCAGGCTCGGTTTTGTATTATCTGCATAGGAGCCAACGGTCCCTTCTTGGAAATTGTTCGGATCGAGGAGAATCAAACAGTTACATGCCAATTTAATATTAATTATGCATTCTTAATTGGAAACACTCTGTCAGCGAATTTAATTACCATTTTCATCTTGAACGAATTTCTCAGATGATTACTTACTTAAGTCTTCATTTTTACTTCAACTTCAATACGCCATAAATTTCAAAAAACGAAAAGATGTATAGAACACAAAGGAAGTGAGAGGGATGCAGGGTCAACCGTCACGTTGGACCGATTTCAGGATTTTTACGACCCCCCCCCTCTTCGAGTATCTCCATACGACCCCGCCCTTATTATGTACGGTACACTGTAAAGAAAAGCTAACACTAGGGGAAGTAAGTGCAATCTACAAAATATCTAAGGACACTTGGCTTGAATTCAAACACAGTAGCAGACGAACCCTAGTTTCCTGATATCGTAATTTACTTATGCATAACATCGCAAAACGGACTGCCTTTATTAGGTGCTGAACAGTACTGCCCATTAGTTTGAATGGCGCTTTGCCTGCCTTTCATGACTTGGCGTTCAGAATCACAAAAATTTCCATCGATATGCAAACGCATCAAAAGGGGAATATTCACAATGATTTCAAGTTGCCAACGAATGCATGGCGCATCTCAGAGCGTGAGAGTATACAGCAGAAGTGTCCGACCGGAGGTTGCGTTCGCATTGGCGCGCGCAATCTTCCCCCTCGGCGCAGCGCGGGTCGCGAGAAAGACTATTGACTTTCAAATAAGCGTAATTTTGCTCCATATCAATATTTTTCAAATTGCTAAGCGGATTTGTAATCTACTTAACTGCTTGTTTTGGAGGATTACATCTATTATGCCTTATCTTCAAAAGTACATCGGTTATGGGGTGGAAAACAAAGAATTTACAGAAATGTCCACTCTTTCATTTGAAAGGTTGAATTTCATTCAAGAAGCGAACTATGAGGAGCGGGTAAGAAAATTTGAAAGATTCAGACTGTGTCTTTCTAAAAATAGTCTAGCCTTTGCAAATTTTTTGCCTCGAAAAATCTCCCCGTTGGACGTTTTTTTTTCGCTCAAGACCAGGTATTTGGCCTTTCCATTTCTATAACTTTTCTTCAAATTCCACCTTTTGCAGATTATTGTCCCCCTGGGTGGAGAAGAAAGTTAGAGCCTTTCAACCGGGTACTTGAGGCTGCTTCAATGTTGACGGGAGTCAAAAAATCGCCCCCGTTGGACGTGTGCGGAAATCGATGGAACCATTTTAGATGAGCGCAGGTTTTTTGCTTCATATTGTATATAACTTTCTCGATTGGAACTTTTTGCAGTTCTTATCCCCTGAATTAACAGAAGGTTGAGAGCTTTCCATTGGAATACTTTGAGCCTCCTTCTAAAAAAAAAAAATACAAAAAAAAAAAAAAATAAAAATAAAAAAATGAAAAGAAAAAAAAAAACAAAAAAAAAAAAAAAAAATTCGAAGTCAAAGACGCCGGGGACCGTTTGTTTGTTCAACGAATTCTCGGAGCTATCTCCTTGAAAACGCAGGTTTTCTAACACTTAAACATGTAACTGTCTTTCAAACTCAATTTTATCGCGCGAATAATGGTACCGACATCGCACGAGTTTGTTGCTTCATATAGGGATGAATTGAACCTTTTTTTAAAGAAGTGTTGCCGACAGGCAATATTTTTGTTTCCAAACTTTCTTGAGCACTTTAGAAGTTCAACTTGACATAGTGCGTTACTCTTTTACAACTTATGTCCAGTTTTGAAGGCATTGGTTCACCTCTAGAATTAATATTTGTGTTACGTGAGAATGGATTACTTTCGCAGTAGACTCTTCGGCTCAGTGTGCGCTGCCCTCGCCGAGTGCCTCAATATTTGAAGAAACACTCCGAAGTTTTACTTCTCACCTACTGCCGCGGGAAGTCTTGATTCTAATCGTTCGATGGTCCCAGCAAGAGCCAACAACTGCGATCTTCATCACAACGCCCATTAAGTTCCTTACAGCGAAAACCACCTCTCGTCACCTACACCCAAAAACCTCTTCGTACTGCAACGTTGACTCCTGCGGATACGACCCCCCTCCCTCTGGCGCAGCCAAATACGACCCCCCCCCCGTTGGACTTTGTCCAACGGACGGTTGACCCTGGAGGGATGATGTCTCTCGATAATTGTATCAAACTGAGGCCCACTATGTATGCAATAGAGTCCAATGCTTGGCTTGTATTGTTTGAGATAATCCAGATATTTCACTTTCTTTTCTCTTTATCATGATTTTTTTTTGAAAATTGACGTAATTATCAAATTTAGATATACAGATTTTTTGCTAGACATGCTAATCACCTTGTGACTCCCAGCTTGTGAAGCAGGAGAACATGGAATAGGCCAAAAAAGAATTTCAATAGAACAAAGAGTTCTCCCGAATAGAACTATGTACTACTAAGCCTCGTGAACATTTTGCCGTGTGCCGTCCCTTGATGAAGTCCGGATATTAAACAGTAGGTGACAATCGAATTGACATTGTTGGAAAACTGAAGGAAACCACGGGAAACACCCTTAATGAGGCCTTCCTTTCCCAAGGCGATAAGAGCGACTGGTAGACAAACAGGCTCAGATAGTGTTAGCCGGGAAGACAGAACGATAAACAGAGACGAGAGTACAGCGAGGAGCGAGTCTCCAGATACTGCAGTGACGGGCTTACTTGGTTGTGAGATGGTTGTGGTTGTCAAAGCTCGCACGAAAGCACCTTTTCATACGTTTCGGGTGGTGAATTTGGCCGTATATCCACAGCGGGGGACCCAGCGATCTTTGTCATGAGGGTAGAAAGGAGGGGGGGGGGTGCACTGGCTCTATGACTTATAGGAATCCATCGCGGAAAAATCATGTTTTTATTTGGGCCAAAAATCACTGACTTGAGACTCATTATCCACGATAAGAATGGAAAAAACAGAAATACTGCTTTCGTTCTTGTAAAGAATTCAAAAAGTCGAAAGGGCTGCTACGCGTTCAAAGTGCCCACGGACGTCTTTCACAAATACTGGGACGGGGATGCTACCACTCGGTTCTTGGAGCGCCTTCACTATGAACTTTTTCTGGCTTTCTGCTTTATTGCATTCACATCTTACACTTCTACTGCATCATACTCTATCGATTGTTTGCCTCTATTCTTCAAAATCGATCGATTTACCCGGATTCCGTCATTGCGTCGCCTGATACGTAGCCGGCTAAAGGCCAAATTCTTTCCATGTCTCGTTTGGCTCCGCCCGAATTACCTTCGATGTCCATAACATGTAGTTTTCGGACGTTTGTTTCTCTTCGGAAACCGGATCTTAATGCGTGAAACTTCGCGTGCTGTTACCAGTGATCACAACTGACACATCCATGTCAAGAAAGAATGCGAGAATTTTCCGCGAAGGATTCCTTTAATCGCATAATATGCCTGCACCTTGTGTCAACATCTGTTTTTACGCCAGTCATGGTTGCCAGATAGACGAGGCCACCCGCTCGAGCTTTCATGATCTAAATTGGCATGGAAGCAACAAAATATCTTCTTTTCCACGTCTTACACGCTGTGCTTATTACAGCATTGAGGATAGATGTTTGTTCAGCTTGGCAGCAATTCCAGATAGTTGGAGTGGCTGCACAACGGCGAGATTTGGTGAATGCTCACGTTACTATCGTCACCTCTCTGATGGTCTTCACTGACATCATCGCCATCGGTATCGTGATCATTATGGCTATCGGTACGGGCTGCCACTTTTTGATCTTTCTATTCCTTTTTTGATTTTTTATTGCTATAGTTAGTATCACAGCGGAGCAATCAGAGACTGTAAAAAACGACTTAGTTTAACATGCCGTTTCCTCGAAAGTGGCATGATTTCGTAGGTTCCAGCTCATTTTTGAGAGAAGTGGAGTTTAGCCATGCAGTAGTGGTGATGTGTGTTATGGCGATGTAACCGTGTAGTTGTCTATGGTAATTCAAGTCTACGATATGAGCAAAATTCGACTAGAGAATCTGAGGGGCTTCAGTAGAAGCGGACGAAGAGCTAGCATCGAAATGGGTAAACTTTTGGGAACCAGCATGATCGGGAGTCCCCGCAGGAACCCCTCCCCCTTAAAGGCAAAGTTCGGGCTCGGACCCACCTAATGAGCCCTTAAAGTGGCAAGAAGCGCATGGGACGATTCCCACTACCATGATCGATTCTTCTCAAAACATCCACTGTCCACTTCATCAAATATGACCCCTTCTCAAAAAATCACTCGTTGATTATTATTAAACGGACGGATGGTCTGGAGAAGATGATGCAGTGTGAATGGGCAGGGGATCCATGAGGAGTTTATGGCCGGAACAGAGAGAGCAAGGTAGTAGCAAACTTGTTAAGAAAAACCTTACAAATGGTTGGGAAGGAACAAGGCGCATGGGTCTTGGGTTAACGGACTGCCCGTGGCTGTGTGCTCGAAATGAGGAGCGTCTGTAGAGGCAGTGAGATCACTGCATGTGAAAGGTGGTGCGGCTTTTAGTGAACGTTATTGGTCAGCTAGCTCCCTTACAAATTAGCGCGCTGGGGATGTGGCTTGGGCCTCTTAACCCTACATCCATCAATGATGTTCAATGACGTCACCAAAACCGCACCGCCCTCCAGTCGTCGTGATCGCTGTTTTCGAGAAACGTGTTTGAAAAGTATCAATTCTGAGATGGATGGGCGCTTGGAGACATGATCAGCGAGGCAGGGAGATGAAACACTTTCTGCTAGCTGTTTTTTAATTAATGTTTTTTTTAATAATTTCTTTCAGGTAATCGCAACGACTTCATCAATTCACTCCCTAGTCATTTCGTCAACGAGAAGAAATTCTATGACGTCATGGGCCCATTCTGGATGTACCTCGGCGCATTCTCCCTCCATATCACTGTAGCCTTCAATATGTGCTGCCTACAACCTTACAATTGCTTCATCTCATTTCTCGATGTGAGTTCGGTCTGAGGCAGTGTAATTACAAATTGACTGATTGGAATGCAAGCATCGTTTCTAGGGTAACCCCTGGGTTGAAATCCGCTCAAGCGTTAGCTTTTTTATGACCTCCCATTTAGCAACGTATTTGTTCTTGGGAAAAGAAGCACTGCCATGTGAACCAGCTGGCTCATGAGTTAATCTGTGGTCCAAACACACATTCAGCTCCTCCAAATGGAGCTTAGTGACGGCCACATGCATGGCTTAGTCTCAAAATGATCTCTTCAACTCCGACCGCCTTAGGAACATCCCATCATAGTTGGACTTCCAGAGGAACAAAGCCATAAGATGTAACATTTTCCTTCCATTCAGGGTGTTGATGAAATTCGATTCAAAAAGTTTTTGCGGTTTCCTTGTAGCTACCCCACCCCGCTCGACGGCGTTTTTAAGCGAAAAATAAGCTGTGAAGAAGGGGTCGTGGGAAATCTGTAAATCTGTAGTGAAGGAAGGGGGGTCGTGAAAATTTCGGAAAAAGTCCCAACGATAGGACCGACCCTGCTTCAGAGCGCACCTGAGTACGTTTAGAGAATACCTTTACCTTTTGTTGTAGAACATCTTCGATTCCTCTTGAATTTTACCTTTAGGTCTCATGGTGGAGGTCTCTGGCTTTTCGTCTTTGTCACGGATTACCTCCACAGAAATTTGATAGAGTCCACGTAATGTCTTCATGCGCTGATAGGTGATGACTTGCAAGAGTGGAGATCTAGCTCAGCGTGAGCCAAATGGTCCCCTCTTTGAACCTCTTCTTGGAGCCGTTAAGGCAGCGATTGCGATAAATAAGAAACATCTGGGAAGCACATACAGCACACGAATCAGTTACTTGGCTGTCAGGAAGCGACGTGTGGCGCTTTCACGACGAAAGGCTGGTTGCTGAGCAGGACTTAGAAGGCGCACTGCTCCCAAAGGCGATCCGCCCACTAGCTTACTTGGGGAGTTGTACGAGCTGCGTTACCAGCAGCGGCACAACTGGGGCAACTCGATTGGAGCGTGGTTTGGGATTGTACAATTAAACGCGTTGCGACGAACTCAACGTTACAACCGCTTTCTGATCTGTTACCTGTTCATGGGTGAAAACCAACAGCCAAAAAAAGGGTCCCGTTTTGCGTTTTCTTGACTGACTTCTCTGGCTTTTTCGCCACCAGCGTACCATTGAACACCACCAGGTCTCCTCTAAACCTTCCCAAACCTGTCATAATCGCTGCCTTCAAGTGTACGAATAAATAGGTGGAAGAAAACGATCGCACCGATCAATCCTCTCAGGATGCGCTATGCACTCGACTTTCATTTCGGGCTGTCATGACAAGATGATGTGACTCTTGGTCACATTATCCTTAGCCATTTGATAGAGGATTCTGCAATGAAGTCTGTGGTCGAAGATGGGGAAAGATACATCGTTGAAAGGTAGGAAGACTGTTTAAGGTGCGAGACGATGCTCGTTTCGCAGCGTAGAGCGTACCCCAAGCGGTCTGGCATGCCCATCCCAGCGCCGCTATCGACGCGGCAAACTTACCGCCAGGCTAGCGGGTCTGTAGCTATTTAACAGAGAGAATGTTAGCATTGAAGGTGGCGACATCTGTGACAGTTGCATCAGTGCGGAAATCAACAAATAAAGAGCTCCCATTTCGGGTTCTGGGCCGCTTCTCAATTTTTTTCTTCATAGCCGCATTAAGGGCCACCTCTATCTTGACTTGTGTAGCTGTCTTTTCACTGCGAACTTCAAAGAATTTTATAACTGGCAAATTAAGATTGCGTGTCTATAAGGAGTCCTTCCGAGCAGTAGGAACATTCCAATGTTGAGGTAGGCTTGGTAGGTGGGAGATACCGACGTTCAGTTCTATCTGAGGTTTCTCAGGGGAAGAGTTTTCAAAAAAGTTATGCCCGTACTTGTAAGTGTATTAGCCTTCTAGAGACGACTGAAGCAAGCCAGCGACATGCCGGTCTAAGTTTTATGAATTTTTTTCTCGAACAAGCTGTTGACTGTTTAACAAATTTTCTTGTGCCTTACGAGGTTGTTCGGTGGAACCTTTTATTAGTGGCCTAACGTTTCGACTGAATCGTCGTCTTCAGAGGCCTGAAGGCTGTTGACAGTAATTTGTAGGCTCGGTAAAGAGTGTTGACCGATCTGAGTGCATCTGAATCTTCGAGGAACGCGTTGGCGTTCTAGTCCACCATCATTCAAACCCTCGAAAACCACTGTCATTTCTATGTATCCAAGGAAAAAGATTAATTTTAGGCAAAAGTGAAAACGAAGAATCACCCAACGATTGAGACGGAGCACCGTGATGAAAAAATTGAACCAGAGAATACAGAAGAGAAGCAAAAGGATCAGTAATGCTTTCCGTGCTCCAGATATTGTTCTATGAAGTTGTGATCTGCTTGTAGATAAACTGACCTAATAATAAATAATCAAGCTCTACCTTTTCGACGAACACACAACTTCTATTGGAAAACCGATTCTTATTTACTCATTTTTTCTATTTATTTTTTGTTTGCTTATTTGTTATTTATTACATAAGGTCAAGCTCACGTGATGTGTGTGAAAGTATTCAAGCGATTTCTACACTGACACAACAGACAGATCAGATCTCTACAACTAAACCCCTTGAGACACGATCCTCACGTTTTAGTAGCTTCTTAGAAATCCCACCAAAACTTGTGGGAACACTCGTTCGATCAATAATTGAGCTCTGCTGCAAATTTTAGCATCTACACGATGAATACATGAGCCATCAGATCTAGAACGCGCACTAACTCGGTAAGGGAGAACCTTATGTCACTAGCCATGAGGAAAGAGATAGCAAGCCTTGGCAAAACTTTACATTCAGGTAGTCCGCATAGCCAGAGCAACCATGCAGAGACACTAGTCACGGGGAACCTTCCGATCACAAGTATGGATCGCTATCCGCAAAGCCACGCGGAGGCTCGCTCGTAGTATTCGTAAAAGAGTTGGAACTGCAGTGTGGGATTCGAAAAGAGGTGAAAGCTAACGAATTGGGGAAGATTCTGGGAGGTGTTACATATGTATCCACACGTTTCATACCGCACTGCACTCTTCGCCTTTCAGCAATAGAGCGGTCCAAAGCATTGATTGTCAACGCAATAGCGCTCTTGACAGCATGGCGTGCCTTTAAAGGAAGGACTTCAGCGACATATCTTGAGCGACATCGACACATCAGATGAAGGGATGAGGAAATTTTATGCAACGAAAAAGTATGGAAAATGGACGGAAAACTCGTCAAATTTGAGGAACGGCGGAAGGAGTTGCTCAAATGGACAGTGAATTCATTTACTGACTCCATACTCAGGCCGTGTTAACGTTTCAGCTACTCTAGAAGTCCATCAGTAAAGTATGAACTCGGCTCAATTTTATTCATGCAGTCGATTGTTCTGCCGGATTGCAATTTTTTCACAGTAGTTTCAAATTTCGTACCAACCAAGCTTCCATCCGTCCGGGGTCGGTTAATCCAGACTTGTCTGGGAGGATAAAAACACTGACTTGTACATCGGCTGGCCCCCGCAAGTCGTTGTATAAGCCACATCGCATTCAAACGCCACTGCGAATGAAATGGAAGTAGAATGCGTGCCCCATCCCAAGACGGGATTGATCAACGGCAAATGCTTTATGCTTTATCCTTTAATTTCAAATTCACCTGGAATATTTTCATGCTCGGAAACCTTCAGCAAACTAATTTTTCATTCTTCAATCTTTCTCTCACTCAGTATGAATGCGCTGGTTAGTGAACGAGGCCTGCCTTCAAAACATGTCAATTTTAGCTTATTTAGTTCAGCAGAAAAAAATCTCAATGAAAAATGGTTTCACCGAGGACTTTTGAGCTACTGTACCTCACACTGGCGCTTCATTCGTCTGCTGGAGCATCGTTCCTACTCCGCGCTTCACCGTATTCGCAAAGTGTGACGCCGGCCGCAGAGAGCGTCACGCCGTGAGCAACCGCTGCGGAAAGTGCAGTCCGTAGCAAACTCAACCCGAGCGCCCGTTGGTTAGGAGAAAACTATATAAAAAATTGCCGGATGCTTCTTTCTCTTCTTGCCTTTTTTTCTATCACGAGAGCTGCAATGAGCTTGCAATGCAATGAGCTTCTCATACGAGAATTTCTTCAAAACCATAAAGGGATACAGAATAACTAAGGTACCCCCCCTTCAACAAGCCAGCAAGTGTCGAGTGCAGACTATACACCACAAGTGACGACGGCCTCCAGAAAATGTAAATGTTTTTTTGCCAATGGAATGATTAACCTTTTACAGGTGTATTCGATCAGTTGACAGTAATTACAAATATCATTCACTAAAAAGCAGCCATCACTATGAACCACTACTAACCAGTACTTGGAGGCCGTCGTCACTTGGTCTGCATCGCACAATTTCTGGCTTTTTGAAAGGGAGGGTGAATGTGACGGTTTTCAATGTGAACCACCATAACAGCTCTGTCATCGCATTAACCCATTCGTGACAATGTCAGCCACCGGTGGCTGACAAAGCTCCCACTCGGGACAATGGTATTACTGTGGCTGCAGGGCTTGAAATGGAATTTGGAAAGTTTTCTTCCATGGAAAGAATCTTCATACCCTCGCTCATCTACGCCAGCCCTTGGCAGAGGAAATCTCCCTTTACTCGGATTTTATTGAAGAAAAATCGCCTGACGCTGCTGCTATTGCGCGATCCTGCGCGGTCGCAAATGGGTTAAACACTACGTGACAGAAATGCTCCTGCGTCTCTACCATTCGTCGTTTGATAGGTCGCCCGCATTTCCTCTGCAGTATTTCTGCTAGTTTCTTTAGACGGCTATGGACTCCACGTTCTGAGTGACGTTTATTCAAGAATCTACAAAGCAAAAAGCACTGACAATTATTGGGCAAGGCTTTCCATTGGGCTAATAAGACACGAAAAGCCGTACGAGTATCACAGTTTGGCATATAAAATAAATGGTGAGACAAAAAAGCGTGGAAAACATCAGTGGGACTCATACACATACAAGCAAAGGAACTACAGTATCCCGCAAATCGAAGTGGAAAACATAAGTATATAAGCACAACGAGACAATGAGTTTTGTAACTTTTGGGGCGCTCAGGAAAATCCACCGTCTCACATATGCTATGGATGCAAATCGATCTGATCGGACGGTGAAAGGAAAGCGTTTTCTCAGACACGCCTGAAATGAGCGTATGTACAGGAAATGAAGGCAATGGTGGTGCCACGGGGCATCTTATTCGGTCGGCTGAAGATGAGTGGCGCAGGTAGAGCGGAACTGTGTGCAGCACATCGTTGGCACGTGTTTCACTCGAGACAACAGGGAGCATGCCTAGAAAAAACAGAAACTGATTTCCAAATGTTTTCAACCCTATATTTTACCCTATAGACTGACTACACTTTGATCTCAAGCATAGTTACCGATTAATAACCCTGTTTAGCCCCCTTTCTGGACGGATGCCCCTCTTCGTCTCCTTTTCTTCTCCCTGGCGTTAGTTTCGCGCAGTCGCAGCTTTTATCAGTCGTCCAGGACTCTTCTGCTGTGGCCGTAACTTCGCCTAGGTCCTTCTTGATGACGTCCTTCCACCTTTTCTTCAGGGCAATCGCTTGCCTCGAGCGTCGAATTTCATCGCTTCCCTTTTCGGGTGGTCCTGTGGCCTATTTTGCCCATGTCCATATCACTGCAGGCGTTGTTCCCGCATCTTTTCTTGGACCCTAATTCCTTTGTAACACACTTTTAACCCTAATAATGTTGCTCAAACGTGCAGGATCTTGCCGGACTTACCACGAAGGGATGATGGTCGAAGTAGCCATATGCAATAAGACCTATAGTAATGGTTGTGCTTTTGGAGACTAACCTCGAATATGCTTTCCAAATCTGATGTTGACAAACAAACTTTCCAAATCGGTCAAGCGATTTTCCGAACGGAGTTATAAAGCAAATAGGGTAACGGTAGCTGACCGGGCTTACGGGAGAGTAGTCGTAGGATCGATTCCCCCGCAAGTCCGTTTTGCCTTCGTTGCAACACGGTTGAAGACGGCTTCGAAACACGTTAATCGATCGACGCTTGCCTGTTACCCGTACAAAGACTGCGGGGGGAATCTAACAAGTTGAGTTCTACTTACTAACGACTACTGCACCTGGAGTCCACAGAACGCAGGTGTGATCTTCGTGTTCTGGAGATAAACATACCAAGGGGTGAATTTGTAGCCAAATCACCCTTTAAGGAATCGTTCTAGGACCTCTCGTCAGTGAGCCCGGATCACTACCGCTGCACTATTTTGTTTCACGACTCCGTTCAGAAACAGTTGGCAGATTTGGAAGCAGATTCGAGATCAGCGTCCGAAAACACATCCTCCGGCATAGGTCCCATTGCATATGACCACTTTGACCCATCACCCCTTCATGATTAGGCTAAATGTAGACTTGATTCTACTTCGAAAAAAAAAAAAAAAAAAAATGGCTTTTCGGGACGCCCATCCTTTTCTATCGGATGGCTTATTCTTTGCAAAACGGTCACTGCTCAGCTTATTACTGTTTGTAGCCGTCTCCAAGGTGACCCACAATGGTACCTCTACCCTGAACAAATACGCATATATGAAATCAGGGTGAGTGAGTTTTTTAAAGGCACATTTCATGATTGGGCAGGTGTCGGCCTATTGAGCTCAAAACTAATCTAGGGGAGGTAGTGGCCCACAGTTTATGAAGACAAAAAAACATGGCTTTTAAATCAAAATCACAACTGGCCGCAGGAGCGTTATGGGCGGTTTCCGCCCCGCCCGCCGAAAAAACTCTACTGGTGATGCCTTGTTGATAGTACAGTGAAACACAGCTGAAAGCCAGTAAAGATGGGACAACCACATCGAGAGCCGACGCGCGGCGAAGGCAAACTCGCCAGGTGGTGGGAACGTAATGTAACTGGCAGAAATTTTTTGTCAGTTGTGCTCGCGCTTCTTCATCACGAGTGGACCAATCTCCACATCTATTTTCATTTTCGCACGATACACATCTAGCCGTCAAACTAAAACCATTGAAGGCTGCCTTAATGGAGTGAATCGTCACATGAAGAAAGATTCGCTCGTCTTCACGAAGCCACAGAACTAAACTCAGGAGGCCGTCCTAGAGACATTGCGGTCTATTGCGGATTCTCTTGAAGTCTAAAATGGTGTTTGGGGGAGGGGCCACTAGCTCTGTGAATGCATTTATCTGGGCTTCCAGGCTCGAGGAAGGCGATACGGCTGAAACGTTAGCGTTAGCGTTTAGTAAAACGTTCATAATATCTTGGTTGCGGCTCAAGAAACCACACTGAAAGTAATTCTCGCAATGCCAATATTGTCCGAGAGTCG